TCTATGGGAATCAATTTTAGTTAAACGAAACACTGGTTCTAAAAATTCAAATTATGACCGCAGGGGAAAATAAAAAATTATTGCTGTACGTGACTATAATTGACCGATTATGTGTTTTTGGCACTTCTAGCAACCAAAGTTTGTGGTAGTTGAGTAGGCCAATAAAAAATTATTGCTGTACGTGACTATAATTGACCGATTATGTGTTTTTGGCACTTCTAGCAACCAAAGTTTGTGGTAGTTGAGTAGGCCAATAAAAAATTATTGATGTACGTGACTATAATTGACCGAAAATTGGTTGGTGAAAGTTTTGGTCCATGGAAATTGATATAATTTTTTTACTCTTTTGCGACCAAAAGATTCAGAGTATCGTGGACTATATGTATCTAATATTAGTACTTTTTATGTACAGTAGAAATTTTCTTCCCCAGTGACATGTTTTTGTTAATTTTAACATTTTTCTGATTTTTGGTATTGCTAATTTAATAATTGTGGTTGTAGGAAATTGAAATATTGGACAAAATATTAGCATGAATAAAAAATATCGACTGTAAAATTATTGACACGTACAATATCAAGCAACCACATATTGGTTGGTAATTTTTTTCTGCTACCAAATTATGGTTGCTTGAAAGTGAGAATATTTTTATTAACATTCACCAATCAAGATTTTGGTTATTGATTCTCACATCGTCCTTTAGCAACCAATGATTGATCACTAAATTTATCGACATTAACCAACGAATGATTGGTCCAAAAAAGGTAGCACTATTCACCTACCACGAGTTGGTCCCTACTTTGTACCAATATGTTTACCAATCAAAGTTTGGTTGCAATAGGGTACAAGTCAGCTAAATGAAGCCATTTATACATGTTCACCAACAATCAATAAACCAATTTTTCACTTTTATGAGCCACCAAAATTGAACATATAAGCGACTCCACCCTATTGGTCGCAAAAGAACTTCATCGATGGTTAATTAGTGACTACCATCCACAATTATTTGATCGCTAAATGTCTTCAACAACCAAAAAATACCCTTTAGCAACCCATTGGATGCAATTTTTTTGTAGAGTTTCTTACATCTTCAATAGCTATAACTATGGTCATCTGCAAACGAGAGTATAATCACAATTGGAGGAAATTAGCTAGTGTTGTACTATTTCAATAGCTATAGCTAGTGTTTGGTTATTTCCTCTTATGAACAGGAAATTCCATGTTTGGGATCTTATATTATAGCCCAATGTCTATTAAGGTGTTAACCCTAATGATGACTATAAATACAAGAAGATTGGAGAAAATAGAAGTCCAACCCATTTTTGAAAAGAGAGGAAAAATAGTTCTTTTCTCGTCGCCCAGATTTCATCAAAGCTTAGATCTCGAGTCGCCCATGGTCCGATCTAACTGAAATTTGGAGGAGAGGTTCACAAAAGACTCAAAAATACATTTGAACGGTGGAGATCAAATTATGAGTTCGTGGACATTGGTTAATGTGCATGAACAGTAACCGAATTTGTTTGTATATTTTCCTATTTCATATTGTTTCGTCGAGATCTTTGATATCTTGAATAAATATACGTTATATCCCTAGTTGTGATTAGAAAAGACTTTGCGTACCCATTATTTGATTGATAGTGGAAGTTTTTACTGGACTGGGTCCCCGTGATTTTTATTCCTCACAACAGGAAGTTTTTTCACGTACAATAATTGCTTGTGTTGTTCTTGTGGTTTAGTGTGATTGATTTCTTTAAGATATTTTTTGCATATAGAATTGTCAGGAAAGACGTTTTACTTATTTGCTTTTGGGAGAAGAATTATTCCGCTATGTATATATTTGTTTGCATCTCTCCATACAAGATTTGTAATTTTCACATTATATTCTTTGTTGAACTTTGGGGGTTTAATGTTGAAATGAATAATGTTGGGATTGCAGTGCATGTGAAGAACTCCAGTCCCTTTCCTATCCCAATAATGATTTGTCGACACTTTTCCCAGTTAAAGAGATCTTTCAATCTCTCTATACATATTTTCTATCAAATCTATCAGGAAATTACATAATTAATCTCCAAGCTTCAACTATTTTTGCATTTCTATCTCTAATCTTTTGTTATTGTTCCCCACTTACCATTTTTTGGCGCCATGGTTGGAATATGTTGTGGACCAAGGTGCCCAATACTTGGAAGAGTTTGGATATTATATATAGCTCACGTTCTCAACCCAGTTGAAATAGAGCAAGTATTTCTCTCAACACATCTTTAATTTGTAACGATGTGTCCTCAACATTTGGATTTTGTTGCGAATGAATTTTCATTGGATGCTTTTAGAAGTAGAATAATTCATATTCCTCTACTTTGATTAACATACATGGATATATAAATTCACTTTAGAAAAAGAATATATATTGTACAAAATTTTCAAGAATGTATTAGGGGGAAAATTGAAGAAGAAGATCCCAATAAGTCATTCATGGCAGTTTCTTGTAGAGTTTTAATTACCAACATTAGGACTAGAGATGGACTGTGAGTTTGCTTTGGAGTGAAAAACATCAGTTCCACAATCTAAATACCAAACTGCTATTCCTCTACATCTGATCAGACTTCTGAAAATTGAGGAAGTTTGACTAGAGTTCCAATCTGTGAAGAACGTGATTTTCTTCGTGAATTCACATGAGATAAATGATTTCGCAAAGCTAGCAGTTGCCCTAGGAGAGTAAAATTCAGGAGAGTTTTGAAAACTGCAGTTGGGGCAAGAGCATAGAGTCTAGGAAAGCTATTGGAATTGCAGTTAAGAGATCAGATAGTACGTGTCATCATCTAGTCTGCTAGACTGTAAGTTGTTCAATTGTTTATAGTGGATTGACGGGCAAAGTGGCCAGAGTTTTTTCCAGTTTGGTTTCTCCGTGATCATACTGTTATTCGAATGTATGATCTATTGTATTTAAACTTAGGATTATCGATTGCATGATTAATCGTCTAGAGATAATTAATTGGTGACTTGTTGCTAGTTAGTTAACAAGTTTTAATTCCGCTTATTATACCTATTCACCCCCATCTAGGTACTGTTAGGGTCAAACTTGCATTTTTCAATTGGTATCAGAGCCTTACTTCGATTCCTTCCCCTTATTTGTTAAGTCTAGATGAGTCAGTCATTATCTGTGCATTCGTACTTCGACGGAAGCAACTATGCCTACTGTAAGGTTCGAATTAGAGCCTTTCTTAAATCTATGAATGAACATGTTTGGATTACAGTTCAGAATAGGTGGGTTCCACCTTCAACAATTGTTGCTGGTGTAGTCACACCCACTGATACTTCTCTGTGGTAATTGGAACAGCAAGTGCCTTCAAGCCCTGTTCATAGCTGTATCTGCTAAAGAGTTTAGGCATGTGTCAATGTGTGAAACTACTAAAAAAGTTTTGAATATTTTAGAAACCACACACAGGGGAACTAAAACTGTTAAGTACTATAAACTGCAGATGTTGACTACTAGATTTGAAGAGATAAGGATGGTAATGATGAGATGTTTGCTAGTTTCTATGCTAATTTGAATGACTTAGTCAATTCGAATTTTAATTTAGGTGAGAGGATCTGGAGTAAAAAATTATTAGAAAAATTCTTAGATCCATGCCCGAGAGGTTTAGACCTAAGATGATTGCGATAGAAGAAAGTAAGGACTTAGATGCTGTTAAAATTGAAGAACTCGTACGATCCCTTCAAACTTATGAACTTACTGTTTCACAATCTAAAGAAGGCTAAATCTGTTGCCATGAAAATTGTTAGAAAAGAGGAGAGGGAGTCCACTGATACTGAGACCCTTAGAGACGACCAAATTGCTTATTTCGTTAAAAAATTCAAGAAGGTGATGAGGAACAAGAGAATGCCTCATGAGAGAAATAGTGAAGCCCCTAGTAAATTTTCGAGAGGTAGATGTGAGAAAAACACATCTAGGACTCCCGTTAAGAAATTTCAATCTGTCCAATGCCATGAGTGCAAAGGGTATGGTAACATTAGGAGTGAATGTCCTAATTTGAAGAGGAGTTCGGGTATAGAACGTCGTAAAATCTTAGTTGTGACCATAAGTGATGATGAGTTAGATTCTAACTCTCAGAATGAGACATCTGGTGATGAGGATGATCGAAAATTCATGGCTTTCACCTTAATTGCTATAATCGAATCTGACCATGAGATTGAAAATGTTGGAAGAGAGAATGGGAGTGAACAGTCTGAAGAAGAGTTTGATGATGAGACTGACATTCACAATTAAGAAGGTCAATAAAGCCATCTTGAAAAAGATGAACGAACTTAAACTTGAACATGAAAAATTGTTAAGTGACCTTCAGGACTCGACCAGAAAATTGAGTGATTTAAAGCTAGTTAATAAAAACTTGGAAATTAAAGTTAAATCATTAATTACTGATCTTGATAAATCTAATGTTCATCTTCAATCATTTATCAGTAGCT